GGGGATAAACGCTGCGCCGCCACCGCACCAGCGACACCGGCCGCGGCTCGCCTCCACGCGCCGGCTCGGAAGAGGGGCTGTCGGCGGCGCAGCAGAGCGGCTCGCCTCGGCGCTCGAGCCGCCGACAGCCCCACTCCTCGACGTGACGGCCGCTCCCGGAGCCAGCCGGTGCGAGCCCGACCCACGCCCCCTCTCGCACCCCTCCGACCCCCCCTGCGCGGCGCACCTATCCGCTGTGCGCCGGCTCGAGCGCCTATCGCCAAATCGCGACGTTTGAGCGCAGCGCACGCGTCCCACACGTCACGCGCGCGCAGGAGAGCGTGCGGCACAGCAGTAGCGTGTACTCGCCGAGGGCATCGCGCCGAAAACCCCGCGCATTCCGCCCCAGCAGAGGCTGCAGCCGATGCGACAAAAACACCACTGTAAAACGGTGAGTACTTGGGGTTGAGTGGGCTTGCTTGCTCCCTTTATACATGTAGCCGGGAGCAAAAATGCAAGAATAAACAACACACCTAGACCGGATATAGAGGCAGGTAGGTAGGTAGTAAGGTGAAGAACAGCCAGGCTCGGACTGGACACCAACGCGGTATGGGTGGATGGACGCTGGACAGATGATGACGACACGCACGAGCGACACACAGACACAAACAAGCTCACAAGACACACAGCCAGCTGGCTGCCACACACCCTGAGTCGGCGTACACATAACTCAGGGCCACATCCTCCCTGTCGCCCCCCCCAGCACTCCACGGTGCCAAGGGCAGCGAGCTGAAGAAAAAGAATTTGCAACTCCTGCTGGGCGGGAGCCGTCCGCAGCCACTGCGCACTCCTCCTGCTCTTGCAACAATGCACATGGACGATCTCGACGACATCGACGACGCTGCGTGGGAGGCCGCTGCCTTGGCGGCCGAGAAAGCTGCGCTGACACATAAGCCGGCGGCACTGCCGCCGCCACCGGCGCCTGCGCCACTGGCGCCTGCGCCGCCGCCGCCAGCGGCGCTGGCCAGTGACGCCGGCCTCTCCTCCGCGCCGTGGGTCTCCGTGCTTCCCGAGGCCGACAGGGCCCGAATCGAGCAGTCCCTCATGAACTACTACGGCTACGAGTTCCGCGAGGGGCAGCGGGAGGTCGTGGAGGCCGCGCTCGCGGGCAAGGACGTCGCTGTCTTCTGGGCGACGGGCCGCGGCAAGTCCATATGCTACCAGCTGCCCGCGCTGCACACGGGCCGCACGGTGGTCGTCGTGTCGCCGCTCATCTCCCTGATGACCGACCAGGTCGAGCGCCTCAACAACACTGTCGGGCAGGGGCGGCGCCAGCTGGCGGCCTTCTGCGGCTCGGCGCAGTTGGACAAGGACGTCGAGCGGCGCGCCTTCGACGGCGAGTTCCCGCTCGTGTTCATGTCGCCCGAGAAGCTCATGGCCGACGGGCTCGACCGCCTGGCGCAGCTGCACGCGCGCAATCCCCTGCTGCTCTTCGCCATCGACGAGGCGCACTGCGTGAGCGAGTGGGGGCACGACTTTCGGCCGCAGTACCGCCAGCTGGGCGAGCTGCGCCAGCGGATGCCGACCGTGCCGATCATGGCGCTGACCGCCACGGCCGTGCCGAACGTGCAGCGGGACATCGTGCGCTCCCTCGCGCTGCAGAACCCGTACGTGCAGAAGCAGTCGTCCTTCCGCCCCAACCTGGCCATCAAGGTGTCGCGCAAGCAGGCGGGGCTCGCAGAGAGCCTGGGCGGCCTCGTGCAGGAGCTGCTCGAGAACAACGGCGCCGCGATGGCCTCGTCGACGCTCATCTACGTGCCCACCACGAACGAGGCCGAGAGCGTCGCCGCCTTCCTGCAGCACCGCGAGATCAACGCCGACTTCTACCACGGCAAGCGCGACGCCAAGGAGCGCGAGAGCGTGCACGTGCGCTTCCTCTCGGGCCAGCTGCCGGTCGTCTGCGCGACGGTGGCCTTCGGCATGGGGATCGACAAGCCCGACATCCGGCGCGTCGTGCACTACGGCGCGCCCAAGACCGCAGAGGAGTACTACCAGCACATCGGGAGAGCCGGGCGCGACGGCGGTCCCGCGCGGTGCGAGATGATCGCGAGCGACGCCGACTTTGCCAAGTACAGCGGCGAGTTCTACACCAAGGGCCTGCCGCACGGCCAGGTGGAGCGCGTGCTCGAGTCGACCGAGAAGCTGCGCGGCTACGCCAACAACACGAGCGACTGCCGGTGGGTCGCGCTGCTCCGCCTGATGGGCGAGACCGCGCCCTTTGCGGCGTGCGGCACGTGCGACAACTGCGTGCGGCGCAAGAATTTCGCGGGCGACGTCGAGCGCAACTACGCCCTCGAGGCGCGGCTGCTGCTCACGGCGGCGACGAGGCACGGCGTCATGTCGCACATGGAGAAGGGCATGGCGACGCCGCCGCTCGCCGGGCTGCGCGCCGCGCTCAAGCCCAAGCGCTCGTGGCAGACGCTCAAGGACTTTGTGCCGCTCCTGGTGACCGCCGGGCTGCTGAGCCGCACGCAGAAGAAGAACCCGTCGGGCTTCGGCGCGTACGACCTGTACCACGTCACTCCCAAGGGGCACCAGCAGCTGCGAGAGCTCGCGCGCGTGCCGATGCCGGCGCTGATGCTGCCGGTGCCCGACTCGGTGCGCCGCGACGACAAGGTCGAGCAGGAGAAGGCAGCTTCGACGCGGCTCGAGGTGAGCAAGGCGCTGCAGAAGCTCAAGGCGGCGGGCATCGACGTGTCGATGGTGCCCGAGGCCGAGCTGGAGCCAGGGGCCGACAAGACGCCCGTCACGAGCGCGATCCTGCACTGGACGCGCACGCTCGACGACTGGAAGGCGCGCGGCCAGGTGGCGCGCGCCGAGGCGCACGAGGCGCTCTACCGACAGCTGATGCAGTGGCGCACGGCGGAGGCGGCGCGGCTGCGCATGGCGCCGGCCTCGGTGCTCGCCGACCACCTGGTCATGAAGATCTGCCACACCAAGCCGACGGAGAGCGAGTCGCTCCTCGCCCTCGGCGCCCGCATCACCGCCCAGGGCGCCAACGCGCTCATCGAGCTGATCCAGCGCTGGCGCACCGCCCATGCGGACGTGGCCGGCGGCGCGTCCCAGGGCCCGGCGGCCTCCCAGGGCGGAGCGTCGGCCGCGGGCGCCAGCCAGGGCGGCGCGCCGATGCAGCTGCCGACAGAGACGTACACGCCTGCGGCGCCGTGGAAGCTCGCGGTGCCGCCCGCCGGCAAGAAGCCGCCTGTGTGGGACGCGTCGTGGCGCCGCTTCCAGCAGGGCCAAAAGGAGAGCATCGAGCAGATCGCGCTGACGCAGGTGAGCGGCAAGGCCATCCTGCCCTCGACGGTCAGCGGCCATCTGCTCACGGCGCTGGTGCAGGGCCGGCCGGTCGATTTGGCGCGGCTCGCGCAGCAGGTGACCGCGCAGGGGCTCGCGCCGCCGTCCGAGGACGAGTGGGATCGGCTCGAGAGCGCGGAGGCGGCGAGCGGGATCAACGTGGTGACGACCCTCAAGCTGGTCAAGACCGACATGTGCAAGGTCTTCCTCCCGGCGGCGGAGAAGGAGTGGGCCGAGCGCGACGACGCCGAGAAGGCCGAGGTTAGCTACTGGTACGCCAAGCTAGACTGGTACACGGCCTTCCGCAAGGTGGGTCTGGTGCCCAGCTTCGCGGGAGCGGCGAAGCAGGCGAGGATGGCGTGAGTCTTGCACTTGGAGCGCATGCGCGGGCGGAGCGGCGAAGCAGGCGATGATTGGCGTGAGTCTTGCACTTGGAGCGCATATGCGCGTGGAGGTGCGCGTGCGTGGGTACTGTACTCGGGGTGTCGGACAACGGTTGTCCTATGTCGCGGAGATAGAGGGAGATACGGGGAGATAGAGGGAGATACGGGGAGATAGCGCAAAAAATCGTCCAGACTAGGGCGCTGGTTCGGGGCGCGGAGTTCACGCCTCGCACAAGCACAGTAGCACAGAGCGGAGGAGAGAGATGCGCTCTGCATGGTGGCGACATAAAAGAGAGCGAGTACTTGGGCGAGTAGGCCGTGCGGTCAACGCTGCCGCGCGCGACTTTGCGCCCGAGGCGGCGCAGCTTGAGGACGGCGGTGTTAGTGGGGTGTGTGTAACGCCTGTGTAACCTACGCGAGATATGCGTCGTTTGGCGGCGCGTGTGGCCTCACACAGTGCATCCTTAAATTATGTATGTAAAAAGGAGAGGGCAAGAATTTCGTCAGGGAGGGGAACTGGAAACGAATCGGAAACGAATCGGAACCCGAAAACGCATATGAGCAAGACGTCGAATATAGGAACGAGATGGACAGGGCCGACAGGGCGGCGGGGACCGCCCTGCCGCCCGAAGAGGGCGGCGTCGAGTTGGTGAGCGCCGACGACGTGTTGAAGGGTGTGGCCGAGACCGGCCCGAACTACACGCTGCTGCCGAAGCGGGAGCGGAAGGCAAAGCGGCGGCGGCGGCGGCGGGCAGCCGCCGAAGCGTCGGGCGAGAGCGCGAGCGAGGATGGCATGGATGGGCTCCACGAGGCGGCGGCGGCGACAGCCGGGGCCACAGGGAGGCCGTGTCGGGCGACGCGAGGCAGCGGGTCGATGTGAGAGGCGTCGGACTCGGAGTGGGAGCTCATAGACGTCGGGGGCGAGACTGAGTACTGGGACACGCGAGTGGGGCGCGATGAGAACTACCTGGGCGAGGGCGCCTTCCGGGTGGAGGCGGTGCGGGGCGAGCGGCGCGGCCAATCCGGCGCTGTCGAGTACGAGATCAAATGGGAGGGCTACGCGTCGGACGAGAACACCTGGGAGGAGGCGGAGGACGTGTCTGCCGATCTCGTCGCGGAGTGGCACCGGGAGCGAGCGGCAGCGGCAGCGCGAGGCGACATGCAGGTGGAGGCCGGCGGAGCGGGGGAGGGTGGCACGAGCTCCGGTGGCGTGGGCACAGCGGGTGAGAACACCACCGGAGCCGCGCGCCCAGGCTGCAGCAGGGTGCTGCGCAGCGCGTTGGCGGACGCATTGGCGGAGGAGTGGGGAGAGGAGGAGGCCCTGTTGGGCGACGAGGTGCCGCTCCTCTCGCCGCACGGGCCCGACCTTTCGAAGCATCTGCGACACCTGCGCCGGCTGCTACGCGAGTTCCTTGCGGAGGAGGCGAAGGAGGGGACGGGCGTGCCGATGCAGTGCACCCCGACGGGCCAGCATCCGACCATGCGCTGGACGATCAAGTTCGGGCGATGGCTGGCCACCACGCGGCTGCGGCCGTCAAAAGCGAGCCGGTGGCACTTCGAGATGCAGGGCGACGCGCGGGCGGAAGAGGTGACCTGGGTTCACAGCGATTGTAGGTAAGTGGAGGGAACACTTGACGGTCGCGGCCTTCCGACTCGCGCCTCCGCCTCACTGGCGCACTGGCCGGTGCGCGTGTGAAGTTCCGGAGTGAAAATTGAAAAAAGACGAACGACAGCACAGCGCGCTCGCTGTGTACTGTGATTTCACGACTGTGGACATTGATCATTGTTCTCCTCTTCTCCAGGCCGACGCGCTCACCCCTCCTCTCACAGCTCACACCTCACCGTGCCCTCTTTGTGCAATGGCGTCCAGCCAGCCGATCCAGGCAAGGTTCCCCGCATTCATCGCTCGCACGCGCCACCGCACCGGCACAACGGTGAAGTTGGCCGTCTGCGCCGGTATCCAGATCGCCCAGCATGAGACGACGCTCTCCCTCCAGTTGCGCTCCAGATCTCTTTTCGCGCCCTCGAGGCTGCCGCCGCGCGCAATGCAGGTCCAGAAGTAGAAGACGGGCATATACAGAAAGGGGACGTGGAGGAAATTGTCAACGCCAGAGGAGAAGATACCGCGCACCATGGCACTCTGAGTAGGCACAGCGATCGCAGCCAGCCGGGGGTAGATGGTCTCATAGCAGAGGGTGGCGATGATTCCGGTGTAGAACGAGCTGAAGCTGGTGACGGCGAGGAGTCGTTTGACCTGGCCGTGGCCGGAGTGTAGTACTGCGCGTGAGCTGAGGGCGTGCATTCTACGCCTACGCTTGTCTCTCAAGATACAGATGATTGTTTATGTCAGATGAGGGCACATCGAACGACGGCGCATTGGCTTCAGGCGGGTGCAGGAGTTGCTCGGTTCGCTGCGTGAGCGCGTCCGCCACAGCTCCGAGCGTCGTCGAGCTCAGCGTGTTGCGCGCAAGCTGTCGTCGAGTCGGCCACATTCTTTCTTGAACAAAGCAGGCTGCTGCGATCAGACGACTAGGTGGAGCGCGGTAATCTTGGACTTTGGGGCCGAAAAACAAATTGGCGACCCGGCCAGCGCGCTCGCAATCCGAACTCCCTTGGGTTGTCTGTTTTCTTTCTTTCTTTTCGCAATCCGAAGGACGCTCCCTTGGGTTGTCTGTTTTCTTTCTTTCTTTCTCGCAATCCGAGCAAAGTCTAGGATTGCTCACAATCCTAGCAACATGCCTGCAACATGCCTCCGATTGCGAGCAGTAGCGCTCGCAATCCTAGAACTTTCGCCGATTGCGAGCGACACCGCCCACAGTCCTACGACTTCTAGGATTGCAAGCGGGTCCCCTCGCAATCGGTGCGATCACTGTTTGGATTGTGAGGAGACCCTCCCGGCGCGCTCACTCACAAGCGCTCGCGGCTGGAGCGATTGGGAGCACCCTATGTGCGCGACTAGCAGTCCTTGGATCTTTGGTACGATTGATTGTGAGCGCAGCCGCTCATAGTCCTACAAGATGTAGGATTGCGAGCGCTACTGCTCGCAATCGGAGGCATGTTGCTAGGGGTCCCGTACCATGCGGAATCGACCCTATCATGTGCTCAAAGACACAAGACGGAGGTCTTGACAAGAGTCAAGTGCTCAAGCGTCAAGGATTGTGAGCTAAGCTGCTCGCAACCCTAGACTTTGCTCGGATTGCGAGCGCGATGGTAGTAGTCGTAGGCGTCACTAGTCACCTTGGGAGCGGAGCTGCTCATAGTCCTAGAAGACGTAAGGATTGCGAGCGTAAGGGCTCACAATCGCACGCAGAGACTCTTTTTCCTTCGCGGCAACGCGATGGCGGCAAGGCCTCTCTGCGCGCCCGCCCTCGCCACGCCGAAGACCAACCGACGTCGGACCGCGGTGAGACCGCGCCGCCCCCCGCGCCCGCCCGCGCCCGCAGCGTGAACACATACGCGCGTCCCTCACCACACGGAAACATACGCGCCAGCCGCGCAGCAGCCTCACATGCAGCGCCGACCGCATGCTCGCGCCCTGGGCCGCCGACGACCCGGTCGGGTGGGCTGCGCGGCCGCCGTACACCATCAGGCAGGCGCGAGACCACCCGCAGCACGCCGCAGCCCACCGCGCAGCCCTGCCAGCCAAAGCTGCGCCTCAAAGCTGCACAAACAGGCGCACAACAGAGCACAGCGCACAGCACACGCCGGCGCGCGCGCAGCACACGCAGACGCACGCGCGATTCCAACACGCACACGCGCACAGCACGCGCGCATCGCACGCCAGCGCAGCGCCGCACACAGAGCACACTTGCCCACATCAGCAGCAGCCAGCCTGCCACAATCCTCATCTCACACACGCGCGCGCACACTCCCCACGCCGGCGCACGCATTGGGCGTCGCCGAGAGGAACCAGAAGAACCAGAGAGTCGGCTTGAGGCCGTGAGGGATCCAGATCTGGATCCCTCAAGGCCTCAAGCCGACTCCCTCAAGGCCTCAAGGCATCAACCTGGCTCCTTCCAGGCATACCTAGCCCCCTTCAGGCACCAATCAGAATCTTCCCAGGCATTATCCTGACTCCATCCAGGCAGGAGCTGGCTGCACCTCGCGATATCCCGCTCCATCTCGCCTAATCTCGCCCCATCTCGTCTAATCTCGCCTCGCCTCGCCTCATCTCGCCTCATCTCGCCTCTCATCTCGCCTCATCTCGCCTCATCTCACCTCATCTCGCCTCATTACGCCGCACGACGTGACCCGAGATCGACCCGAGATTGACCCGGGATTGAACCGAGATGGACCCGAGATCGACCCGAGATCGACCCGAGATCGACACGAGATCGACCAGAGCGCAGAGGTCGACCCGAGAAAGCCCCTCTGGGGGGCAGATTGACTCTCAACAAGGACCCAAAGCCCCCTCTTTGGGGGACCCCTCCCCCCCCACCCCGAGTGTCCGATGGGGCAGGGGGGGGGGGGTGCGAAAAACGAGCAGGGGAGGCTGGGGAGGGGGGGGTCCACTCTGAAGACAGCCGACCGCGGAGGGGTTTTGTCCCACAGGGTTTTACCCTCCGCGTGAGGATCGGCGCGGCGAGGGGGTAGGCTCGAATTCGCCGCGCAACATTTCACCCCCACAGGACCCCGCCCTCCCCCCCTCATGGTCCCACCACCTAGAACCCCAATCTTAGGCTTCGCACCCCCTCCCTGCGCAGTGTCCCCCACTATGTGTCGCCGTTTTCGGGGCACGCTATCCTGTGTAGTCAGGGCAAGTGGGGGCGGGGGGCAGTCCCTCTGGTCTGATACTGGTGTGGTTCTGTCTCTAGTCTCGGAGGGGGGCTTGAAGGTAAGAATATTTTATTTTTCACAATCGCAGAGAGATGCTACGATTGCGAGGAGTGCTGCTCACAATCCTTCGACTTCTAGGATTGAGAGCGAGGCTGCTCTCAATCCTAGCCTGGTAGAAAAGAAGGTTCGCCGCCAGTGCGCGCCAGTCCCGAGAGAGAGAGAGATTTTTAGTAATACCAAACAACTCTAACACTCACACGTCATTTGGGGCCTGGAGCCCTGTTCACGCGCGCGCGAGACGTGCAGACAGGGTTGCCAGGTGAGAGCGAATGGCGCGGTTCACGCCTCGCACAACAGAGAGAGAGATGCGCTCTGCATGGTGGGACATAAAAGAGAGCGAGTACTTGGGCGAGTAGGCCGTGCGGTCGACGCTGCCGCGCGCGACTTTGCGCGCGAGGCGGCGCAGCTTGAGAACGGCGGTGGGCGAGAAGCCGCCGCCGAACGTCTCGTGGAGGGTGGAGCAGCAGGTTGAAGTTGTTGCGCTTGACGAAGATCGCGTCGTGGTAGAAACCGCGATGCGCCTTGACGTAGCCGTGGCCGTTCTTGTGGTCGAAGGGTTGGCCGGGCTGCCCGCGCGCCTTGCAGCCCATGTTTAGGCGGCGGGCCTTCTCTTCGGTGTTGCCGAAGGCGTAGGAGTGGCCGACGGAGGCGGGCGTGCCGCCACTCGAGGCGTTGCCAACGCCCGTCGAGGAGGTCTTGAGGAGGGGCGTCCAGAGCTTGATCTCATTCACCTCATCGCATCCTCCCGGGCCAGCGTGGGGTTCTGCGAGGTCGACCTTGTACCCCTCATTGTACTGCCGGGTGAGCTCTGGTTTCTCCCTGTCACCGTGCACGACCGGCGCGTTGGCCGGGGCGCGCATCGCGTCCGCCCAGGCGGCGAGGACGCCGTCGTGGGGCCGCCGGTGGTAAAAGTCTAAAACTGATACATTGGCACATAACGGCAATACACGTGAGAGTGAGAACAGAGAGGACGTACTGCAGTGGACACGCACTATACAAGGTGAGAGAGAGAAAATAGTCACACAGCACAGAAGTCAGTCAGCCGGAAGAACTAGCAGGGCGGGCTCTGCCTCGGCGTCGGCGCGATCCATTTCAAGCCACCTAGGGCCCCGGGACCGCAGAGTTGCAACTCGTTCAATCGTAGGAGTAGCCGTCGTCGTCGTCACGGTCGCGGCGATGGCGGCGACGATCATCGTAGCTGTCGTCGCCGTCGTCATCGTCGCGTCCGTGGCGGTAGTCGTTGTATCGACCGCCGCGGCCGCCTTGCCACCACGAGTAGCAGACGACGGCGACGCTGCCGCCCCACTCCGAGCCGTCCCACCTCTGGAAGTTTGAGCCGACATCGTTAGGGCAGAGGGCGTTTGAATACGAATAGTCGACCACCCCAGCAGACGCAGAGGTGTAGTCGTCACTAATCATCCACATGTAGCCAGAGGGAAAGTAGAGGTACTGGTCCTCCGAGTTCTTGTAGACCCAGCGGCCATTCACCACCGTCCCTGTGCGCGTGAAGACGCCCATACTCGTGGATTGGTGCTCGTAGCCTCCCGACACGCCGATATAGTTGCAGTCGCACGACGGGCCGCCCGAGCGAGGTTGCACGGAGGCTGGCGGTGGCGGCGGCGGCGGCGGCGGCGGCGGCGGCGGATGGGTCGGAAGTGGGCGACTGCGCACTTCTTCAAAGACGCTGCCTCCATCGCATGTGGCCCTAGAGGGGTCTGTCGGGGCGCTGTGAAACAGCAGGCAGGTCACGCCGTTTGGCTGGCCGACAACAAAGTGCTCTTGGTCAGCGGCGAGACGAGCCATCGGGTAATTCGCGAAGGAGAGACAGTGGGTGTCGTCCTCGCACAAGGCCTTGCAATCGGCGTTCGACTTGTGCGTCTTTACGCACGCCCAATAGTTCTTGTCTTGACAGGAGCTGGCGGCCATGCCAATAGCTGCTGCGAAATCGGCGGTTGTGGTGAGGCAGAGCCCAGTCTTCGGTGTACGCTCCGGTGTACGCTCCGGTGCTCCGAACGCCTCGCACTCGTCCGGGTCGTTGTAGCAGCCACGCGCAGGCTTCGCGTCCTTCGGCACGCACCGGCCGCGCTCTTTCTTGTACTCGTAGCAGCGGTGGTGGCCGGTCACCGACATCCAGTTGGATTGTGCGGCGATCCCGGCGGTGCACTGGGCCATGGAGTCGTAGCAGACGCCGTTGGTGTAGTACGCGGGCTTGAAGGCGTGTGTGAGGCACTGGCCAGCGCACTCGCCGACGCCCTCCATGTAGCACCGCGGGCCACTGTCTTGGAGGTTGGCGTCCCGGAACGTGCACTGGCCCTTGCGTTCGGTCCTGGAGGAGGCCGCTGCGCACGGGACAGCGGGCACTTCCCACTGCGAGGGGGGAAGCCTGCCTCCGAGCGGGTGCTCGCTCTCGCAGTAGTAGTAGGTCTGGCCCTGAAGCGTAGATGAGGCCCAGCCAGCAGGGAGCTCGCCTGAGGTGTGCCCGAGCAACTGCTGGCTGACGCCGTATCCCGTCTGCAAGCCGCTCGCCGCCTCCGCCTTTGCCTTCCAACTAGCCGCCTCCGCCTGCATCTTTTGGGCCAGCGCCTCAGCCCCTGCCTCGGCCGCCTCAGCCGCTGCCGTTTCCATCTCGGCCGCCTGGGCCGCTGCCGCAAGCTTTGCTTCTGCCGCGGCCAGCCTCGCCTCCAGACTCGCTTTTGTTTCGCTCGCCTCTGCCGTCTTGGCCATGGCTGCCTTCGTCGCCGCCGCCAACTTGGCCGCTAGGTCCGCCCTTGCAGCGTTCGCAGCCGCTGCCTCCTTCCTTGCCGCCTCCGCCGCCTCCTTTGCTGCGAATGTCGCTGCCTCCTTCCTTGCCGCCTCCGCCGCCTCCTTCGCTGCGAATGTGTATCCCGACTGCTGCCCATCATAAGCATATCCCGATGCCGGCTGTCCGCCTTCGTAGCCCCAGTGCTTACCGCCGTACCCCCACTGCTTCCCACCCGGCTGGCCACCTCCGTATGCGTAGGCGCCGTGCGCCTGGCCCTCACCGGAACTGGACTGCTGCTTGCCGTCGTCCTTCGTGGCCTCTTTGATGCCCTGGTAGCCCTCTTTGGCCAGGAGCTTTGCAAAGGAGATCACTGCTGGTCCGTGCTCGACCGCTGCCATCGCAGCGTCTGCGGCCGCGTCGGCAGCCATGCCCGCGGCCTGATCGGATGCCGCGTCCATTGCTCCTTCGTCGCCGGAGATCGCGGCGAGACCCAGCTTTACTGTCGCGCCCATCTCTGTCTTCCGCTCGTCCTTGTCGCGGAGAGCGCCGAGCATCATGGCGCCGAGCTCGTCGGGTCGACCGACGGGCAGCGGCGCAGCTAGCGTGGTGGCGAAGAGCAGCATCATGCCGCCTTGGTTGGGAGTGGTGCGTGATATAAGGCCGACTCGCGAAGACCAAAGGAGGACTGCTCGTCTTTTTCGAGCTGGCTAAGGCAGGTCCTCCGGTCGTGGTGGGAAGGGTGATAACGGCAATCCATCAAGGTGGAGAATAATTTGGCGAGCGCGGTCTTTGTCGATCTGTTTTGTGTGGTGGCGCGGCGTGCCGTCCTCCCATCCCTCCCTTGGGTTGTCCGTTTTCTTCCTTGAGCATTTGGTTAATTAAAATGAACTCGGGGGCACGGGACGCGGCACAAACGGGGCACAAACGCCAGGCTACAAAGACGGGGAGGCACGTAGTGACGCAGGGGAGTCTAGGCGACGGCGGCGTCCTCCGACGCCGCGGCGAGCCTGGGCTCGGTCGCAATCTCTTCCGCCGCCGCGAGCTGCAGCGCGACTGACATGCGCTGGGCCTGCAGCGACAGCCACGACCGCGTCGACCAGCTCGCCTCGTCCTCGTGCTGCCGCTTCGAGAGCTTGTTGCGCACCTTCTTGAGCATTTGTAGGAGGAGAACAAGAAACATCGATCGCCGGAAGACTGGTGGGAGACTAAAAAAGAATTCGTCGGCGCTGGTACCTTGGAGGTGTCTTTCGAGCTGACCTTTGGCACCATGATGCTCTTCTGGCCCACAGCCCTCTCCGCCGTGCAGCCGGGCTGCGCCGCCGCCCGCATTCCCTACGCGACCGCGACCTTCACGCCGGTCGCCTCGCCGGTCCTCTCGCCGCGAGCGGAGAAGCTGCACACTGTCGCTCGGCGCGCGATGTGCGTAAGAAGCCGTTTGCCAATTGTCACGCGCTGGGGCGTCATTCTTTTTCTCTTACGCTGTTGTGTGCGTGGCCTGCTGCTTGCTTGGTCTCGGTAGGCATCGCGCCGAAAACCCCGCGCATTCCGCCCCAACAGAGGCTGCAGGAGGCAGATGGCCAATAGCGATGTCGTTTAGCGACCATCGTTAACGAAATGTAGCGTGACCGGGAGGTCTCCAAGCTGTCTTGGGTGGTCAAGAACAAAACGCGCCCTCTCACATGACAAGCGATCCCACACGTCAGCGATTGTGGGGACTACATGATTACATGAAGGGTGGGGGGGGGCCGTCCGCAGAGCTAGGCGGCGCGGGCACCCCCCACTGGGGCCGAGCGCAAGAAGCCCGGCCGTCTTTTTCTTTTACGCTGTTGGTGCATGGCCTGCGTGCCCTTGCTTGGTCTCGGTAGGACCTGGTGCTATGCCTGGCGCGGAGAAAAAAACGAGAAAAGAGAAAGCCGCGGTTGCCGCCAAGGGCCGGGCCGCGCCTGGCGTCAACAAGTACATGCCCGACCAGAGCCGCAACGCTCACGCCAGCATCGCTGCATCCTCGGGTGCGCAGAAGCTACTCAAGCGGGCGGCGCTGCTTCAGACGCTGCTGGCGCGCAAAGAGAGCGCGGAGACGCGCATTCGGCTGGCGGAGATTTGGATCGAGCTCAATCAGAGCAAGTATCACGGCGCGGCAAGGGAGACGCTCGAGACGTGTCTGAAGCTTGACCCGGGCGATGCCATGTGTGCACGGCGCGTGCTCGCCCCGCTGCTGCTCAGCTTTGGCGAGCACGAGGCGGCGGCGGCGCTGCTCGCGCAGTACAGCAACGACACGAGCGCGGTGATGTTGTGCTGCGGCCTGCTGCTCTCGCTGGCGGAGCACGCCGAGGCGGAGGGCGAGGAGGAGGAGGAGGAATCGCAAGCGCGGGCCGATTCGGCGTTCGAGCGGCTGTTTGCGTGCAACTGGCAGGCGTGCGCGCTCCTCGCCGCGACGGCGCGCGGCGAGTCTCCCATCCCCGAGCAGACGGTGTCCGAGCTGCGGGAGGCACGGATCGCAAAGCTGGCGTCGGCCGGCGGCTGGCCGGAGGTGGGCGGCGTGTCGGAGGCGATCCTGCTGTCCGAAGTCTTCTCCGGGTGCGCGGGCGGGGCCGGCGAGGAGGAGGAGGCGGAGGGGACGTCCGAGGACGCGTGGCCCGGGCTGGAGGGGGCGGCGGTCTGGCTGAGCGCGATGACCCTCGGCAAGTATGGCGAGGCGGGCGAGGGCGGAGGTTGCGCGCGGCCGGCGAGGGCGAGCGCGGCGCGGGGCGACGAGAAGCGGCACGTGCGGGTGCTCGAGGCCGTGCTGGGCGAGGTGTTCGAGGAGCTCGAGATGATCGTCGTCGAGGCGGCCGGCGAGGACGAGGCGGAGGAGGGCGAGGAGGGCGGCGAGGAGGAGGAGGAGGGCGAGGCGGAGGGCGAGGAGGAGGAGGAGGTGGTGGTGGAGGAGGAGGAGGAGGAGAGCGAGGGTGGCGAGGGAGAGGGAGGAGAGCGAGGGTGGGAAGGAGGTCGGCGCCGCCTCTTCGTCGTCGTCTGCCCCCAAGCGCGGCCGCGCCGACTTTGAGGCGTGGAGGGAAGCGAAGCGCGCGCGCCTGGCCGAGAAGCTGGCGCGCATGCCTCCGGGCGGAGCGGTCTCCGATGAGGAGGGGAGTGACGAGGGGGAGTGAAAGCGTGTCTCCTAGCGCGTCATTTATGGTGCCGGCAGATTCATTCACACCCTCACCCACACACACACGTAGCGTGTGCGCCATGCGACCACACACGTCTGGGGGGGCGACCCCCCCATCTTTGTTTACCGAATGCGTCTCTGGATTAGAGTGCGTCTAGTAGGCCTCCTACTTAGACGCTCGCTGTCCTCGGTATGCTCGAGCATCCTAAGATGCGCGAGTCTATATTAGTTGCTCCGCGCATCCCGAATTGCTCGCGGCATCTCCGATTGGCGTTGCTGTCTCAAAAGACGCGCCGTGCATACTGTGAACAGCGCGTGTCTCAGAAGACGCGCGCATATTTTGAACAGCGTGTGGATCTCAAGAAATACACGCACGTATAAAAACAAAAAAGAAAACGAAAATCGGTGTGGCGAGCGCTGCGCGGCGGGCCGTGCCCCCGGCTGTGCGCCGCGGCTGCTGCGCTACTACTCGCACAGCCGCGGCGCGCCCACCCGAGCACTCGTGGGTGGGCGCCCTATAGCCTCTCCGCGCAACGTGCTGGGGCACGGACAGCGGCTCTCACGTGTGGCAGCGGCAGCAGGCCCACCGCTGCACCGACTCACACTGAACAGCACGCACAGGACACAGTCACAGAACACTGCCCCTGACGCCACTCACGGCCACGGGCTACTCAGACTTGGACACAGGCACCTCGCTTAGCACTCCGTGCACGTGGCTGCCGGTTGCCGTCACCAGCGCCGCTTCCTGCCCAGATCAAACACCTGCGACGTGGCGGAGGCGATGAGCGGCCCGCGGTCGCCGTGAGAGCGCGCGTGGTGGGCGACGGCTCACCGATCGAGCGGAAGCGGTCACGCTGTGGGGGCGGCGGAAGCGGTCACGCTGTGGGGGCGGCGGCGAGGCGGGCAAGCCACCCGCAGATCCCCAGAAGGACGCCGTCGCGAGGTCGAGGGCGGGCGGCGGGGGCGGCGAGAGCGAGGCGCGAGGCGCGAGGCGGTGTTGGCGGCGGCGGTGGCGCGGGCGGCGGCGGTCACGGAGCGGGGGCGAGAGGGTGGTGGCGAGCAAGACACCCGTGCGCGCTGCGCGGTCGCCGTTCTGACTCACATGCCTGCGGACAGCGCCGACGGGTGGTGAGGAGGGCGGCGAGCCGGCGGGCACGGTGTGCGCGCGGTCGCCGCGCGCTGGTGGGCGACAGCTCACCGAGCGAGGAGCGAGGAGCAGGAGCCGCGGCGAGTCGGGATGCCCGGTCCCTCAAATCGCCAAGTCAAACAAGAAAAACCGCGCCGCTGGCCGACTCTCGGAAGTACGCTGTCTTCCGTGTCTAGGCGCACGCCCACGCCCTCAGCCTCGAACTGGCCCCGCTACCTGCCGCGCAAACTGGTTGGTGGGGGGGGGAGGCGGCGTCGCCGTCGGATCGTCGTAAGCAGTGCATGCAACTTTGGTCTTTGCGCCCAGAGCTCGTGGCGCGAGCAGATGCATGCGCGGTGCTGAGAACCTGGTTCTCCAGGAGGGGCAGGCCGCGAGGAGAGACCTCACACGAGCACTCAAGGCAGGGCCCCCAGGGGGTGCCGAGAGATCACACCGCCTTTTCGTGCTCCCTGGCTCCCTGCTCCCCCCTCGGTGCCCGGTGCACCCGACACACGGTGTCTCCTGAGACGCTTCCCTGTCCAAGTATAGTAAAATGTGATCTAGTATGCAAGTGCCATCTCAGAACAGCTGTGCATCTATAGATGCTTGTGGCGTCTAAGATGGAACGCGTAACAAAAGACACGGCGCGGCTATCTCCAGGACAGCCATCGCATCCTAGAATGCCCTGTGTACCCGAGACACATGGTATCTTTGAGATGAAAAGTGCGTCCTAGAATGCGTTTTTGCATTCTAGGACGCATCGGTAAACAAAGATGGGGGGGTCGCCCCCCCAGACGACACGACGGCGGACTTGAGCACCGCACGGAGGCGCACGTCCGCACCGTACGACACGGACGACACGGACAGGAGGAGACACGTACAGGCGAGCTCTTAAAGGCTCACACGAGGGATAGGTCGAGGTCCCTCTGCGTGTATGTGACGGTCCCTCTGCCGGAGCGCCCTAATCTGCTGCGCGCAGCCACGACCGCCCCGACGAGCAGTATACTCAAGCCGACAACCGTGGCGGTGACGCCAAATACCTCGATCGGCTGGCAGTGTGAGTCCTCCTCCGCAGACTCCTCCATAAGGTTGCGCCCTCCGTGCACCGCGGCGCGCAACACTGAGTGCGATGCCGCGTCGACATGTTCAGTGATGGCAGCGTGCGTGCTCCGCATGAACTCAGCGAGCGCCTCCTGCGATGGCGGTCCGGGGCCAGCGCTGAAGAGCTTGTCCAGGGCGGGGAAGCAGCGTGGTCGGAAAATCTGATCCATGCCGCCTTGCCGCTAGCAAAGGGCGCACGCAGCAAGGAGGTAAAAAAGAAAAAATTCGGCGTGCCAACCGTTCTGACGAGGGGAGGCTGCCGTCTGCGGAGAGCTGCGGCGCGCTCTGCATGCCGAGCAAGCGAACCACAAGCATAGGTTGGTACTTAAACTCTCTCTCTCTCTCTCTCTCTCTCTCTCTCTCTCTCTCTCTCTCTCTCTCTCTCTCTCTCTCTCTCTCTCTCTCTCTCTCTCTCTCTCTCTCTCTTCTCTCTCTCTTCTCTCTCTCTCTCTCTCTCTCTCTCTCTCTCTCTCTCTCTCTCTCTCTCTCTCTCTCTTCCTCTTCTCTCTCCAGCGGGTTTCTTTTCCCCACCGAGGCACCCTGGTTGACGCGGCGCGCTCCCTGTGCTGTTTTGGTAGGCACGCGCGGCAACCCAAAGTGGGGCAACCTGCCCCGCAAGTTCAACATCGCCGTCTCTGGCTCGCGATCCTAGAAGCGGAATACGTGTTCATGTCTCCCAACCAGCGCCCGAGAGGGCCACGTGTTCCGCTGTACTCACTGTCCTCCTGTCCGTTGTACTCACGCGGTGCTCTGAACACGCTGCTCACTACCGTCTTCGTGCCCTGAAGTTGGCGTATTCTGCTTCTAGGCTCGCGCGATGACTTTGCTCACACGCACATCAACGACATCGGGCTCGAGCCGTGCGCGCATTCGGAGACGGGCGAGATGGGCTTCAACGTCGTGCTCGGGGGGTACATGTCGATCAAGCGCGTCGCCCACTCGGTCGAGGGGGACATGTGGGTGCCGGCTCAGGCACACACACACACACACACACGCACACACACACACACACACACACACACACACACACGCACACTGTGATCTCGGGCAACCTCGTGTAATCTCGGGTAATCTCGGGTGAGGATTTGATCTCGTGTAGCGCGAGCACTCCCTCACTCACACGGACACGCAATCTCCCGCAATCTCCCGCAATCT